CCTCAAGACAGGACTCACATGGAGGTAAAGAGTTGTCTTCTAACTCATTTCGAAGTCCCATTTTAACCAATCTCCCAATCCTATTGAGATTAATGTGGCCTAGTCATAAGTGCCAAAGATAGGTATTACGAGAAATCTTTTGTCATTTATTTTGAGTTTCAACTGTTTTAATCATCACGGTATTTAAAATAGCTTTTGTTTAGCTCGGTTTTAACATATATAAGTTGTTTTCTTGTTTTGCAGAACAAATATGAATACGTCTTTTGCAAATGAACACTACATTGATTTCAAAAGATACTTTATACAATTTTTCTAATAAACAAGAGATAGATATTAGATTTTTTTTTATTACGGAACAAAATGTACATTATCTAATATAATGAATCTATCTCCAAAAAACGACTTTAAATTTCCTACTGGTCTTGCTGAGACAACTTCTCCTGTTCCAACCCTGAGTGTTATCTCGCCTTCCGCAAGCATTCTCCAAGAACTTGTTTCCTGAGAAAAAAAAAAAACATATTTCTACAACTAGTAAATCATATGTAACACCTAAAATGAAGGAAAGCCACCTATGGAAGACCAAAAGAATCGAAGGAAGGAAATGAAGAGGATTAAGCAAGGAAAGGGTCTTAGCAAGTCATTTCTATACCATAAGAAGTAATCTTAAGGACTCAAGACCTTTGGAGCAGGATTAGGAATGAAAGTTAATGAGCTTCAAGGAAAATTCAAAATCCCAATCCGAAGATACACAAGTATTCTTCGATCAAGGAAGACCCCAATAAGCTTCTGCACCTCCAAGGAGTGTTTACGTAGAAGACCACGAAGAGAAATAACCTTAGGAACGTTCCCAATTGAAGAAAATTCGTTTCGGGTTCAATTTGGGGGTAAGTGTCGAATTCCTATCTACGACCTCTTTTCTTTCAACTCAAGGGTTCATTTAGCTTCAGAGAAGAAGATGAGTAACTTTGATGAAGGAATCAAGAGCTGAAACATCGTAGAATAAGATATCTAAGAGATCAAAAATCGGAGGTGTCGGGTAACTTGCAGAACGAGAGTGATTTCTCAAAATTAAGATCGAATTCCTATCTACGACCTCTTTTCTTTCAACTCAAGGGTTCATTTAGCTTCAGAGGAAGAAGATGAGTAACTTTGACGAAGGAATCAAGAGCCGAAACGTCATAGAATAAGATATCTAAGAGATCGAAAATCGAAGGTGTTGGGTAACTTGCAGACCGAGAGTGATTTCTCAAAATTAAGGTCCCACACTCAAATTCGTTCCTCCAAACCAAGTTTGAGGTTTCTCAAAATTAAGGTCGATTATGGTCGACATGAAGATAAGTTTGAGGTTTCAAGTTGATTGGAGCAAGTTTAGAACCTAAACCAAGTTAGGACCCAAGAACCACCGAAAGGAAACACCACAAGACTCTAGACTCTTCTAGAACCTTCTAAAGAAATCCCTAGGAATCTATGACCTTCTAGAAAAACTCACACTAAGATGGGCTCATATGGTTACAAATACAAGTTACAACTTATACCTCAAGGAATTAAGGACCTTAGAAACTTACAAAATTAGGAACCAAGAACAACAACACACAAGCTTTACAACTACATAAGTAATAAGAATGCTAGGTACCACTCAAGGACGAAGGACCAAGGTCCCCAAACTCAGAAACTCAAGAATGCTAGGTAATACTCTAGTCATGTCCAAAGTGACCCATGACCTCCCACCAAGCGGTGCCAAAGAATTCCTCTTCTAGGTGGGATGCTCTACACCACATTTCCTTTGCAGGATGTCATGCCTTAAGTTTCCCTCACCTAGAAGAGATGCCCTTCAGACTTGCAGGATGCCATGCTCAAGAACCTCATAAGACCTCCCACGGTACATCATGCTCATGACATAGACTACGCTGCTTGTTTAGCATGAAGCCTTGAGCGTAGGTAAGCAGACTGTATTATAGGGGAAGCCCTTGATTCAGTATCAAGACTACATCGCTTGGAACGCAAGAAGCCTTGGATGTAGGTTTTCATACTATGCTGCTTGGAATGCATGAAGCCTTGAGTATAGGTTAAGCAGACTGTATTATAGGGATAGCCCTTAATGCCGTATTAAGCCTACATCGTTTGGAACGTAAGTAGCCTTGGATGTAGGTTTCCAAACTATGCCGCTTGAAATGCTTGAAGCCTTGAGCATAGGTTAAGCAGACCGTATCGAAGGGCAAGCCATAAGATGCGGTAAGACTACGTCGCTTTTTTACGCATGAAGCCTTAGACATAGGTTAAGGCTGTCTTGCTTGGAACACATGAAGCCTTGGACACAGGATTGTCAGGTGCATGTCTAGTGCCGTAAATCCTAGGGGGAGTGTCTTGGAGAACGAACCAAGAATAGAACAAGAACCTAGAAAGTACCACGGAAAAGAGAAAGATCACAGACTAAAACATATCAAGATCCTAGTTCTAAGGACAAGAATCAAGAACCAAGAACATGGTGCTAAAGTTCTTAAAGGATAACCAAGGTTTTAGAATTCAAGGACCAAGGTCCTCAAGAAAGATCAAGATAAGAACCCCGAGTCAAAAACAAGAATTAGAGGGCCTAAGTACTTACAACAAGACAAGAACAAAGAATATGGTACCTTAGCATGTTAAGGACACGATTAAGAGCCTACAAGTAGGCTACTTACTGAGTCTTGTACTCATTCCCTATTCTCCATTTTTTTTCAGGTGATAAGGAGTTAGTCGAGATCGGGAGCGAACTCTAGAGCAGGTGCCATAGACAAACCTCACCCGTCGTCTTCAACTGTTTTGTTTTAAAATGTTTTGAGTCTATTCCTTATTTTATGTTTTAACCATTACGTTGTATTTTAAATTAGTAATGTGCACGTACTTTTTTGGTATAGTGTAAATTATGTTTTAAATTTTAATGGTTTTATTTAGCGAGAAAAATTTACCTGCCTGTCATCGAGTCAACCCGGTCTTTACAGCTCAAGGGCTATAATTTCTTCCTCCATTGCTTTTTGTCAACCGAGTTTTGTGATGCCTCTTCATATGTCTCTGGTTCGTTAACTCTATCTTCTACAATAGCTGTGTTTACATACTTAGGATTTGGCCTTCGGATTCTATTTGATCGCATAAGTTGTTGATGTCTCGTTTGATTTTTATCAGATTCGCTTGATTTAGTCACCTCTTGCTTGTCAATATCAATGTCACTTGGATCTTCAGGAACATCAACATTTGATTGAATTTGCGTAGCTTGCTTCCCCATCATCTGTTGTAAAATTTCTTCGATGTTTGAATCTGGTAAGACTTTCTTCTCCGAGGACCACCATGAAGATGCTTCATCGAAAACTACATCTCTTGATGTATAATATTTTCCACTTGTTGGATCACAGCACTTCCATCCTTTCCTTTGATTGTCGTATCCAACAAATATACATTTGACTGCTTTCTCGTCAAACTTGCTACATAGATGGTCAGGCTCAAATACATAGTAAACACAATCAAATACTTGGAATTAACTAACTGTAGGTTTCATGTCCCATAGTATCTCAAATTGTCAGACGAATCCTAGCTTTGGTTGGGGAAGCTTGTTGATCACATGGGCAACAGTTCGCATATCTTTAGCCCAAAAGCTTCCTGGAACATTCTTTGCGTGTAATATGCTTCGACAGATTTCTGCAAGGTATCAATTCTTTCTTTCTGCTTCACAATTTTGTTGTGGCGTGTTAGCACATGTAAACTGGCGTCGTGTCCCACACTCATGTAAATATTGATTGAACTCATCTGACGTGTATTCTCTGCAATTGTCTAAACGTAGACAACGAATCTTCACTCCTACTTCTCCTTTGATCATCATCTTGAATTCTTGAAACTTTGAGAAAGTGTTAAACCTTTCTTCCATAAAGAAAGTCCACACATATCTTGAGTAGTTGTCAATAAACGTCACCATATACCGCATTCTGCTGATCGATTCTTGTTTGATTGGACCAAACAAATCAGAGTAAATTGACTCTAATTGTTTCTTTGCTTTGAAACTTGACTCTTTGTATGGTTATTGATGAGTTTTACCATATTAACATCCAGTGTAAACAACGTCTGTTTTGACTTCAAGTTGAGGTAGACGTTTGAGCATGGATTTCTCCATAATCAGCATCAATTTATGGTAGCTAACATGTCCCAATCTTGCATGCCATAAATCTGTCGTCTCATTCTTTCGGGTCTTGTGAACATAGGCAGACTCTATAGATAGGACGTAAACAGACTCTACTCTTCGCTCTTCTATTGTTAGCTTTCCAATTATCTTAACATCTTGATGAACTCTTACATCTTCTGGCTCAAACAAGACGTAGTTTCCTGATATTGTTAGTTGTTGCACTTACAACAAGTTCTTCTTTATACCCGGTATATAAACATTATGTAGTGACACTGTATCTGATTTATTGCCAGGCATGATTGTCCTATTGCCGATTTGAGCAATTGACAACCGTGCGTTATTTGTTGTGCGTACCATATGGCTTCCTTTATACTCTTTCTTGTCTTGCAATTTACTCTGATCGCCAGTCATATGGTTTGAGCATCCTAAATCAACGATCCAGTCATTCTCTTAATTGATATGGTCTCCCATCATCACCATGAAAGCTAGCTCGTCTTCTTCTATGACATAGTACCTCTGTATCCCATTCCTCCTCCATCTCCATGTTGAAGGATGCCACATTGTTTTCGATCGATTTTTTCTTGGACCAACATTCTTTAGACATGTGGCCCTTCTTCCCGTGATTATAGCAATTACCTTCAAATCGCTTCCTTGAGAACTCCTGTTGTCATTCTTCTCACCTCTCATAGGTTGTGCAGTTCTTTGATGACTTCTTCTTTTGTCACCATTTTTGTATCCATGTTTGGTAGATGATTTATTATTTTCTCGACTTTCACTTGTGTAGAGTGCTTTTTCTGCACCCTTTAATGTGATGCCTCCCGTTTGTTTAGCCATGGTTTCATGGCTGGCTATAAAATTTTCAAACTCTACAAGTGATGGTTGAGTGGGCCATCCTTGCGCAGCAATAATGAAGCTTCTATATTCTGATGCCAACCCTTGGATAATGATTCTCTTCATTTGATCTTCACCCATTACAGACTTCGGTTCTAGTTTAGTAATCTCTCGTCAAATCGTCTTGACTTTGTGGAAGTACTGAGCAATCGTCATGTCACGTTGTGAAATTGACAATAGCTAGTTCTTTAGAAGTTGTAGCCTCGTATTATTCTTCTTGGAGAACAACATCACGAACGTGTCCCATGCTTCTTTCGGTGTCTTGTCATCCCAAATATGTTCTAACATCTCTTCTTCGATTGTGGTCTTCAAGGAAAACATTGCTTTGCCTGCTTTGATTCTCCATTTGCGCAAGGCGTCATTAGAATCCTGTACTGACGACATAGTTTCACTCCCGCCAATGATCTCCCAAAGATCCTGTCCTTGTAAATAGGACATCATGTATGTTCCCCATGTATTGTAGTAGTTGTTGTTGAGTTTCTTGATTCCTCCTACGATTTGGAAGTCACCCATCGTGTTGACATACCTCAATAATACCAAACAAGCCTTTTTGACACAAGATTTGCAGAGTCACTGACTACTCATGACACAAAGAAACTCACTCACTAATAATATCAAGAAATCGTTTCAGATGTAGAAGATTAGGCAGGGCTGCAGCCACAGAGCATACTAAGAATTCCAAGAGATCACAACCTATACTAACCTCGCTCTGATATCAGATTGTTGAACACAACTCTCTGTGGTAAACACTCGCACTCTTTATTAAGACCAATCGAGAAGAGAATACAAGACACTTTGTAGAATACTACTACTTTATATTACTTGTAATTTCTTGGGATGTAGGGTCGACTACGCAATCTAAACCTAACAAATGTAAATCTTTTTCCTAAAATATCGAGATCTCTTTTCTAAAATATCTACTATCTTTCCTAAAATCTCTAGTATCTCTCCTAAAATCTCTACTAAAATAAATATACAATGGGGTCGTACACTTATTGGGCTTGACTCTATTGGGCTAGTGATGATATTTTAAAACTGCACACCATTTACCTATAATCAATGTCAAATACATGTTGATCAATGCGAAGAAGACAAGTTGATGCAACTACTCATGGGGCTCAATGAGTCTTACAAAACGGTGAGATCTAACATATTGATTTTGACTCCATTACCTAATGTGAGGGAAGCCTATTCATTACTTGTACAAGAAGAGATGTAGCGTCAGGTAACTTCTGAACCTACTGAGAATTTCTCGATTGCATCAGCAGTGCAGAAGAAAACAACATATTCAAAATTTACCAAGGACAAATCATGTGAACACTGTAATAAAAGTGGTCATACAATTGATGAGTGTTGAATCCTTAAGCGTCACTATAAATTTGGTGATAGAAGGGGACATACAAAAGTTCGATGTCGATAGAAAAATAATTATGGAAGGGCAGTACAAGTCAATCAACAACAATCGTGGATATCGTTCATCTGCAAATATGGTCGATGTTTCTCTATTGAATACAGAAGAACAGTCACCTAATTACATTCTAAATTTTTTTTCTGAGCAATTACAACAGTTAGCACAAGCCTTATCTGCACTCAGTCATCGTCCTTATGGTAATTCTGACAATAACATCAAGGTTGCTGGTTTGTTTCCAATATCTGCATTATCTATTAACTCTAAAAGTTCTAATCCATGGATTCTCGATAGTGGAGCTACGGATCATATAGTATCCAAAGCTTCTATTATGATTGAACCAAAGACTTCCACCATATATATAATAAATTTTCCTAATGGAAGGACAGCACATGTGTCACATACTGGCAATGTTTCCTTTAATTCTGACCTTAAATTAAACATCGTTTTATGTGTGCCTTCATTCAATTTCAACATAATGTCGATCAGCAAACTTACCAATGACTGGAAATATTATGTCACCTTCTATTCTGATTCTTGTGTTGTGCAGGACTTGGCGAGGGGAGGATGATTGGCACAGGTAAACAATTCAGAGGTCTCTATCATATTTCACCATCTCCAATCAAATCTTCAGCTCACCAAGTATCTCAGTCATCTAATTTGTGGCATTTACGCCCGGGTCATCCTTCTTTTTCTCGTTTTAAATTTCTAGCTCAGTAGTTGCATCTTAATAATGATATTTTTTTCTCATAACTGTAGTATTTTCCCATTACGCCCGGGTCAACTCTGCGTTTTTTTCTCACTATTGTTGATGATTTTACTCAATGTACTTGGGTTTTTCTTATGCAACATAAATCAGAAGTACATCATTTGTTAATGAACTTTTTTAAATTCGTTCAAACACAATTTCATATTACTTTCAAGATAGTTAGATCACGCAATGGGACTGAGTTCCTATCTTTGCAACCATTTTTTACTTCATGTGGCGATGAATTTCAGCGACTTTGATGAAGGAATCAAGAGCTGAAACGTCGTAGAACAAGATATCTAAGAGATTGAAAATCGGAGGTGTCGGGTAACTTGCAGAACGAGAGTGATTTCTCAAAATTAAGGTCCCACACTCAAATTCGTTCCTCCAAACCAATTCCTTTAGCTTGAGGAAACGATAAGGAAGAGAATTTGTGAAGAGATCGAGCCTTGAAAATTCCTAGAATCGGCTACCCAATAAGAAATCCTCTGTTTTTACTCCGGCAAGAAATCATATTTTGGACGAACTATGGAAGCAAATATCTTAGGCTACAATACATGAAAAGGTATGAAATCAATCCCTAACTCTTCCTTGTAACACCCTGTTTAAGTTTCATGAAGGAATTGAGGGGAGAAATGGCTATCGAAGCTGGGGAGGGCGAGTTTCAGACTACGACGTTATATATTGGCCCCGTCTTCTTCCTGTCTTGAGGAAGAAGACGATGACGTGGCCGATTTAGTTGAACCGGCCATGTCAACCCAAAACTTGACCTTCCCTCGAGTTTTCTCAATTTTAAGCCCTTTCCAGACCGATTCTCATGAAAAACTTTATGGTTCTAGAGAGTAGACATAATAAGGAGTCTGTGGAAGGACATTTGAGGTAATTAGGATACTGGAAGCTTAAGAATGGAGGTCACGAACATCGACAACGAGGTAACAAAGGTTACAAGTTGTATGACATGCAATCTAAAAAATTCTTTATTAGTCATGATGTTAAATTTTGTGAAGATGATTTTCTTTTTTCATCAGATTCACAAATTCTGACATTGGCTCCTTCAACTCCCATTTTACCACTTCATGATTCATCCTACTCAAACATCCATTCTAGTCCTCCCCCACCTTCTATTCCTTCACCTACTACTTCGTGGTCTCCTCTGCCTTCTGTTCCTTCTTCAGATTCACCCACTAGTTCTAACCTTATCCCACCTGATACATCAGTTCCACTCCGACATTCTACTCATACAAAATAGCCTCCACTCGTCATAATGATTATGAGATGACTTCTGGAGCCAATCATTTAACCTCTAGCTTAAATCCCAACATTGACACCAGGTATCCCCTTCATCATTACCTTTCATTCTCTCGTTTTCCTCCTACTCAACGTGCTTTTCTAGCTCTTATTAAAGTTCAGACAAAAACTAAAACCTATGATTAGGCAGTTGGCGACCCATTACGGCAGCAGGTTATGAATGATGAAATTGCAGCTTTGGAATGTAATCATATGTGGTCTCTCGTTCCTCTACCACCTAGCCATAAAGCTATTAGCTGTCGTTGGGTGTACAAGATTAAACACAACTCTAATAATTTTGTTGAATGTTATAAATCTCGACTGGTAGCAAAGGGATACACTCAGGTTGAAGGTGTTAATTACAAAGAGAGATTTTCGCCTACAGCGAAACTTACAACACTTTGTCTGCTTACTCACTATTGTCGCTGCTCGAAAATGGTTCACTCATCAGTTGGATGTTCAAAATGTCTTTCTCCATGATAATCTAAATGGTTCTGTTGAATGTTATAAGTCTATATGTCGGCTCCATAAATCTCTTTATAGTTTAAAACAGGCTTCTCACAGTTGGTTCTCCATATTCTCTACCACTATACAAAATGCAAGCTACACTCAGTTCAAAGCAGATTACTCTTTATTTACTAATAGTAAAGGTACTTCATTCACTGCAGCTCTTCTCTATGTTGATGATATTCTGTTGACAGGCACTGATCTAAAAAAAATTCAACATCTCAAGACTAGTTTACTCGAGAAATTCCTTATCAAAGATTTAGGGAATTTGAAATATTTCCTAGGCCGTGACTTTTTTAGGTCTAGAAAAGAAATTTTCATGTCTCAAAGAAAGTATGCTCTGGAAATTCTTCAAGACACAGGTCTTACAGGAGTACGTCCAGAAAAATTTTCTATGGAACAAAATTTGAAACTTTCTTTAACAGAAGGAGAGAAGTTGATGATCCAAGTAAATACAGACGATTGATTGACAGATTAATATATTTATCGATTACTAGGCCTGACATAGTGTATTCAGTTCGTATGCTTAGTCAATTTATGCTCTTCGAGTTCTGAGATACATCAAAGATACAACTAGTCAAGGACTTGTACTACCATCTGAAAACAACTTAAGATTACGAGCATATTGCGACTCAGACTGGGGAGGTTGTCGAACTTCCAAACGATCAATTTCTAGGTTCTGCATTTTCCTAGGAAATTCAATTATTCTTTGGAAGTCTAAAAAACAAACCAATGTATCCAGATCATCAGCAGAAGTCGAGTATCGAGCTATGGTAAAAACTTGTTTAGAGTTAACTTGGTTCAGATACATTCTTCAAGACATGAAAGTTCCATTGTTCGAACCAACATTATTGTATTGTGATAATCAAGCAGCATTACACATAACAACCAATCAAGTTTTTTACGAACATACAAAATACATTGAAATAGATTGTCCTATAGTTCGAGAAAAATTACAAGACGGAATCATCAAATCATGTTATATTTTGACTAAAATGCAATTGGTAGATATTTTTACTAAAACTTTGGGAAGACATCAATTTGGTTTTTGGAAATTCAAGTTGGGTGTGATTGACATACACTTTCCAATAGGTGTCTGGCTTAATTCTTCCACAATCCCTTAAATTTTACTTAACTTAGGGTTCATATAGATTTTTAACGATTCCTACAAGTAAAACATGAGAAAAGTCTAGATTTGTTTGAAAAATTTCTATACTTTCCTCATCGTGAATCTCCCACTTCGTTCAATCTCAAGTCACGGTTTCATAATTCTATGTCATATTTTGGATACCTCATATCACAATCCATGTCGTACATTGTGACACCTTTAAATCACCTCAAAACTTTCACATCTACGGTTGTCCTCAAACTTTCCTTTAAATCTTACAATGATAGTTAATAGGACGTTAGGATTATTTTCACAAAGATAAGAAAACTTAAATAAATTGTATGTCACTCGGCATTGTATTGTTAGACATATTATATTCCATGAAATATTAAATCTAAATGGAAAGATTAAGAATTTGTTAAATACTTAATAAAAGTTAGGAGTTAGAATAACGAAAGGAATTCGGTGAATATCTTTAATAAGGTGAAGCACCTTGGCATAAGTGAGAACGAATTCGAGGAGCAAAAGCAAGCTAATTT